TTGGACTGTGCCACTTCCAGTGAATCGAAGTTCTGGCTACAGGCTGATGTTCTCTCTTTGAAAAATGCTTTTTATAATATTCCACGGGGACTCGTCCGCGGCTGTCTCCCTTCCAGTTACCGTCTGGGTACATTTGAATGCGGAATTCGTATTCGTCTCTGTGGAAAGTATATATGTAATGACACATCATATTAAACTGCGATACGCCAATATAACCCTTTGAAATACTAGCAAATATTTCACTAAATGACTTGTTGTGTTTCTTTTCTAGAAACTCTCTCATTTCAATGATATGTCTCACTTTAATGATAACAGGAAAGTAGGACATGCATCGGAGTACTTCCGGTTCACCAAAAAGGAACTTTATCTTTTGAGGGGAAGAAGGCCAGTACCCAGCAATAATTTTTCCAACAATAGCGGCCACAATGGGTTTCCCGGCAATAAAAAGATCTTCAGGTGTAACTGTTGTTACGAATAATGTGTCTGTATCAACAAAACCAACATAGTCTGCCTTAGTATAGTTCTCAGGATAGAACATCGACCACTGCTGGCGGTTGTGGCCTATGGAATTATATGCTTGTGGGTTGGGATCTTCATAATGTATTTCCATATTAGGACTTGTGAGCCTTAATTCTCTGCCAAGCTTGTGATCCACAACAGATTCGTTGTCCAGAACGATGACCACTTTGGTGTCGTTCGGCCAGAATAGACGCATGCTTTGCATTAAGATATTGTCATATAAGTACCTCGTTTTGTGATACATTCTTACGAATATGACAAAACTGGGTAGATTCTCCCAAGGATTGCCTGTAAATAAGGTAACATTTTGGATGAGTGGATGTTCGCGCGGGCCATGATTGGAATAATTAAAGATATAGAATGACCTAAGTATATAGAATGTCTCGGTAAACTACATTTATGTTAGCTGTATAACAAAAGTACATTAACTATTTGCTCCAATGAATATAAATGTAATAAATGATTTACTTTCACAAGTAACCCTTCAGGCAAACTAACTGTTGGTCACATACACATTAAAATAGATAATTCATACTTTGACACAATCGCTTATAATTTACACTGACTAACCCGACTACACGTTTTACTATTCAAATTACCTTGTATGATACATGCCTTAGTATACAATGCATTTCTTAACATACATTTAAAACTGAAATCTCAAACAAAGGCACCTCTACACATGGAAAGAAGAGGTTACCGTAAAGGGGTACATGTATGTTGTCTACAAAATATAAATAATTCCTCTTAATTTTTTATATCAAAACACAACACAAATATTAACGTTTTACAAATACATGTACCTAAATTACCTGGATCCTTTGATACACGGCGGCCATGACCGTCCTGCTGTAAAGTAAAGCCTGGGTTCAGTGAGCTATAAAATGTCTCCGGCCAATATAAGCCCCAAGTTTTCCCATTTTGTGGGATATCGGAATAAAGTATGATACACGTTACGATGGATAACGTGGCTATTATAAACCCAAAGAAAGAACGCCTCGTCAGATCCATCACAGTCCACCTCCTTATACATACGACTCCGTATGTCTCGGACTGGGTCTTGGATAATGTGGGTCACTATATTGCGGTAGTTTGCGGTCACTGTAGGGGAAAGAAATATGCCTATCCTACCAGCTTGTCTTATTCAAATCCAGGGGAGACACAACGTCAGCATATAATTTTTAATAACACATAACCACCAAGAATTCGCATGCGCAGGAGGCAAGGAGGCTCATTTTTTATAATTGAATGTGTTAAGTTATACCTTCTACGCGCTTTAAAACAGTAACTTCATCGTGACCATTACCAAGGGCAATAGTCTAACCACCCCTTCACGAGTCGGTTACCAGGGAGTAATTAGGCCTATATGGAGTAGTGTCATACCCCATGACAGGCGCTGCGCTTGGAACACAGTGAAGCGTATTAAAATACGTTTGTAAGTGATGGATATGTGGCAGTCGGAATGCTTTAGTGGTGATAAGTTGGTCTATTGACTGCGTTCATGTTCCTGTTTGTTCGTGCTTTGTCCGAAATCTCGTTTGANAGTAGGACATGCATCGGAGTACTTCCGGTTCACCAAAAAGGAACTTTATCTTTTGAGGGGAAGAAGGCCAGTACCCAGCAATAATTTTTCCAACAATAGCGGCCACAATGGGTTTCCCGGCAATAAAAAGATCTTCAGGTGTAACTGTTGTTACGAATAATGTGTCTGTATCAACAAAACCAACATAGTCTGCCTTAGTATAGTTCTCAGGATAGAACATCGACCACTGCTGGCGGTTGTGGCCTATGGAATTATATGCTTGTGGGTTGGGATCTTCATAATGTATTTCCATATTAGGACTTGTGAGCCTTAATTCTCTGCCAAGCTTGTGATCCACAACAGATTCGTTGTCCAGAACGATGACCACTTTGGTGTCGTTCGGCCAGAATAGACGCATGCTTTGCATTAAGATATTGTCATATAAGTACCTCGTTTTGTGATACATTCTTACGAATATGACAAAACTGGGTAGATTCTCCCAAGGATTGCCTGTAAATAAGGTAACATTTTGGATGAGTGGATGTTCGCGCGGGCCATGATTGGAATAATTAAAGATATAGAATGACCTAAGTATATAGAATGTCTCGGTAAACTACATTTATGTTAGCTGTATAACAAAAGTACATTAACTATTTGCTCCAATGAATATAAATGTAATAAATGATTTACTTTCACAAGTAACCCTTCAGGCAAACTAACTGTTGGTCACATACACATTAAAATAGATAATTCATACTTTGACACAATCGCTTATAATTTACACTGACTAACCCGACTACACGTTTTACTATTCAAATTACCTTGTATGATACATGCCTTAGTATACAATGCATTTCTTAACATACATTTAAAACTGAAATCTCAAACAAAGGCACCTCTACACATGGAAAGAAGAGGTTACCGTAAAGGGGTACATGTATGTTGTCTACAAAATATAAATAATTCCTCTTAATTTTTTATATCAAAACACAACACAAATATTAACGTTTTACAAATACATGTACCTAAATTACCTGGATCCTTTGATACACGGCGGCCATGACCGTCCTGCTGTAAAGTAAAGCCTGGGTTCAGTGAGCTATAAAATGTCTCCGGCCAATATAAGCCCCAAGTTTTCCCATTTTGTGGGATATCGGAATAAAGTATGATACACGTTACGATGGATAACGTGGCTATTATAAACCCAAAGAAAGAACGCCTCGTCAGATCCATCACAGTCCACCTCCTTATACATACGACTCCGTATGTCTCGGACTGGGTCTTGGATAATGTGGGTCACTATATTGCGGTAGTTTGCGGTCACTGTAGGGGAAAGAAATATGCCTATCCTACCAGCTTGTCTTATTCAAATCCAGGGGAGACACAACGTCAGCATATAATTTTTAATAACACATAACCACCAAGAATTCGCATGCGCAGGAGGCAAGGAGGCTCATTTTTTATAATTGAATGTGTTAAGTTATACCTTCTACGCGCTTTAAAACAGTAACTTCATCGTGACCATTACCAAGGGCAATAGTCTAACCACCCCTTCACGAGTCGGTTACCAGGGAGTAATTAGGCCTATATGGAGTAGTGTCATACCCCATGACAGGCGCTGCGCTTGGAACACAGTGAAGCGTATTAAAATACGTTTGTAAGTGATGGATATGTGGCAGTCGGAATGCTTTAGTGGTGATAAGTTGGTCTATTGACTGCGTTCATGTTCCTGTTTGTTCGTGCTTTGTCCGAAATCTCGTTTGATTGTACGCGAGAGCCCAGTTGTGCGAGCGCCACGCCTTGCAAGGACACTAGTCTTACGTTTATGTCTTGGAATGAGACATGCTTTGTATTTTCAGGTGGGCGTGACTTTTGTTTCTATACTTAAATAGGTTTAAGGTTTTTCTGTCTTATTTTTTGTTTTCTTACTCAGCTGTTTTTTTCCTCTTATCATCCTTCCTTTATCTTTCCGTATCTTTTTCACCTTTCGTTACATTTATTGTAATTTGTTTTTGTTACATTTAGTTTTTATTCGTTGTGAAAAGTTAATTAATCAGTTATTATTATTATTTATTGTTCACGGATAATTTTGCGGTGCGTTGTTTAGTTTGTTATATTTTTATTCTATTCTTTAAATTAAGTTGTCTTTACCATTTAAAATGAGTTTTTCGCTTCCTTTGGAAGCTTAAGGATGCTAGTCTCACTGTACTGAATACAACGTCTTGGAATGAGAAATGTTTTGTATTTTCAGAATAATAAACTGCGTGCAGTACTTCCAACAAACTGCTAGTGTTTATTAACTAATATACTGTATACCAAGTGGTATGACAGATACAATACAAATGTACGAGTCGCCAAGCTGTACATAAAATATTTCGAATGTATTGTCGAGCAGCAGGCCTAAGCTTTAAGATGCCAGAGCTGAGCTTGTCACTGAGTGTGTCACGGCATTGTTGTCCTGAGCCAGAAAGTCATGAAAAGATGCATTGAAAGTTCAAATCATCCCCCGATTCTAAGTATGTTAGATAATTTCCCCCTTTTTCATTAAGGACATGTTGTGTGTGTTATTTCTTACATATTTAAGACAGTTAGTAATGTGGATTCAGTGCAAAGTGAAAGGAATTCAGTAATCAATCCGCAACAGATGACAGGCTACAATTCAACAAGTATTTGGATATGTACATGTATATTATATATTTTATATTGCCCTATATGTCTTATTTTAATATATTGCGACCCTCCCTCCCTTTCTCTCTTTCTCTCATTCTCTCTCTGTCTCTCTCTCTCTCTCACACACACAGACACACACGCACACACACGAGTAAATCCATTATTTCTTTACTATCTATATCGTATTTAGCTCATCATAAATAGGTCAGTAAGAGTTGCTTACGTCATATGATATCTGAGTAAGCCTACCACATATTTACACGTTATCTTGCATAACATAAAATAATGGTCTGAACGCAAGCTCTTTAGAGATCAAGATTGTACGGCAAAGGCTGGGTGTTTTTAGTGCTGTTTCCTTCCCTGGACAAGTGAAAGCCCCTGACAGCACGTAGGTAATGTTATAAACAACGTCTTTTGTTGACAAAATGGAGAACTAGGCCTATGTATCGTACCAGTATATCGTATGTTGCGGTATATATCGTAAATATGCAGTGTGTCATATAGCGTCTGGGTCAAGATTCCAACAATAGTATTTGACTCTGCCGAGTGTTTTGGGCGTAATAAAATTATATTGTTAATACATCTGAAATAGTTCTCTCTCTCTCTCATGAGCAGTGTACATGTGGATGATCGCTTTTAGCTACACAGAGGTTAACATTAATACCCCTCCATCCCACCCCCACCCGCAACTCCCCAAAAAGAAATGTTATATTAAACTTGGCAACCATAAAGTACCGGTATGTCAAAAAATGTTTGGGTCAAGTTCAATGTCTGCATGCAGTTACCAGCGTTTTATGTCGCTCCTTTAATTGTCAATTTCCTCAAAATGTGTTTGCACTATCTTCTATGCCTGGTCACTGTTTCTCACACAGACACACACACACATACACACACACTCACACACACGCACACACACACACAAACACACACACATGTACAGACACACGCACACACACACGTACACACACACACACACACACACAGGAACACATGTACACTGCGACAGAGAGAGAAGAGAGAGAGAGAAGAGGGGGGTTTGGGGGGTTGAATTACCATTATATAAATCGAGATTATTGGGCACTCGAAGTTATTAAAACAACAAGAAAAGAATGCTTCGCTTTTATTTATATTACAGATATGGAGCGCTGGAAAGGTCGAGTTGCCTTGGTAACAGGAGCGTCTATGGGCATAGGAGCAGCCATTGCAGGAGATCTTGTGAAGAATGGTATGGTGGTGGTGGGGTGTGCCAGGCACGTAGAAGATATACAGGTGAATATTTTCTTACGAAATAATAAGAAAGTCGACTCATATTTAGAAGTAGAAACATGACAGAATACCGCGTAAATAAAAAAATTAAAATTCTAGTAAGTAGTTACAAACTGCTGTAAGTTACAAACTTTCGAGCCAAGTTTATTTCGCGTCTCAAAACTATCACATTAATTCACCACTTGTTACGAAGAACCTTTGGGAGGTGCCTTGGCAACAAGGACTAGAGCTATCAAGGTGCTATATCTTGTTAATCTCCCCCCCC